TGGAGACGGTAACGTGCGCCTGCCCACGCCGTCAGGGAGACCAAGAAAACTCCCCTAGAGTTGAATTAGATGCCCGGTGTCCAACAGGCCCACCCCGAGTGTAGTAGTTTTGGATTCAGACGGATATGGACTGATATCCAGACGCTGCCCCTCATGCTGTGACCTTGGAAGACTTCCCGAACCTCTCTGCGTCCGCCTCCTCACCTGCAAAGGGAGGTAGGAAGGGTACCTGCCTACTAGGACCCCTGTAGAGCTAACATGGGAAAGTGAGTGCAAAGTGCCAAACTCCCTGCTTGTAGAGGGCACTCTGTGTGTTGGTTCCTTTCTTCTTCCCTTCGAGAGGAACCCAGAGAAAGGGGCCCCGCCCGTCCTGTAGGCTCTGCGCTCCTAAAAGGCCATCGCACACTGAGATGCTATTATGATGCGTAGCAAAGAGGCAGAAAATGAAAATGTTGCCAGCCAGTCCCCTGCGAGAGTAAACCTGGTGGCCCTGACTTTGTATTTATTTTTTAATGTTTATTTATTTACTTTGAGCGAGAGTGCGAGTGGGGGAGGGGCAGAGAGAGACTCCCAAGCAGGCTCCGTACTGTCCGCACAGAGCCCAACTCAGGGCTTGATCTCAGGAACCATGAGATCATGACCTGGGCCGAAACCCAGGGTAGGATACTTAACTGACACAGCCACCCAGGCGCCCCAGCGCTGAATTTTTAAAGGCTTTGCAGGGGGCCTCGAGTGGGGGGACCATGGAGGGGGCCAGTGGAGGGATCGTGACCCAGGACTACTGTCTCCTGTCTTCTGTGGGTTTCCCTCCTCGGCAGACAGAGTTAAAGAGAAGACGGGTTCTGCCCCAGAACTGCCTCCTAGCTCCTGGGAAGGTCAGGGTGCCATGAGAAAGGTCCTAGGTAACATCCCCCCCCTCCCCAACTTGCCTCCACTTCCAGCCATGCCCTCAGGCATCCTCGCAGTTCTTCCACCTCCCGCTAGGGGGCAGCGTCTTCAACTATGCTCACACAGCCCAGAGGCCGACCTGCCAGCCCCAGAGGGGACTGTGCCCTAGAGTCACCAGCCAAGCAGAGCAGGGAGCCTTCTCTGCCCTCAGGAAGCTTTAGTAACAGTGCCAGCTGAGGATTGGGTTTGGGAACAAGAACCAGATTAAGCAGGGGCGCCTGGGTGGCTCAGTCGGTTAAGCATCCAACTTCGGCTCAGGCCATGATCTCACAGTTTGTGGGTTCGAGACCCACATCGGGGTCTGTGCTGACAGCTCAGAGCCTGGAGCCTGCCTCAGACTGTGTCTCCCTCTCTCTCTGCTCCTCCCCCATTCATGCCCTGCCTCTCTCTCTCTCTCTCTCAAAAATAAATAAAAATTAAAAAAAAAAGAATTAGATTAAGCAGAAGTGGAGGGCTCCTCCAGGAAACGGTCACGTAGAGGGCCAATGGCCTTCTCCTCCCACGCAAACCTCATCAGTGGCACACAGTGACATCTCCGTGGGGGAAAAGGTGGGGGGTGGGGAGAGAAATGGAACCTACTGCTTTATTTTGGCTTTTATGTTGTCAAAGTGTTAACAGAGTTTAAAATCTAATAATAATGGGGTGCCTGGGTGGCTGAGTCGGTTGAGCGTGGGACTTTGGTTCAGGTCACGATCTCCCGGTTTGTGAGTTCGAGCCCTGACTCTGTGCCGACAGCTCAGAGCCTGGAGACTGCTTTGGATTCTGTGTCTCCCTCTCTCTCTGCCACTCCCCCACATACACTCCGTCTCTCTCTCCCTAACATTAAATAAATGTTACCAAAGAAAAGAAAAAGAAAAATCAAATAATACTGAAAAACTCATCATGCAAAACCAGCAGCTGCCTTCCCCACCCCTCCCTTACTATACCCTCTCCCCCAAGTCCCACCTCCCCCTCATCCAGGGTTTCATCTTTGATAACCGCTTCTTCTGGGGCACTGTATTCTTTTTTTTTTTTTTTTGTAATGTTTATTTATTTTTGAGACAGAGAGCATGAGCAGGGGAGGGGCAGAGAGAGAGGGAGACACAGAACCTGAAGCAGGCTCCAGGCTCTGAGCTGTCAGAGCCCAACGCGGGGCTCGAACTCGTCAACCGTGAGATCATGACCTGAGCCGAAGTCGGACGATCAACCGACTGCACCACCCAGACACCCCGAACTGAATACTATTCTTACTCGATAATCTTATATTAACTCTTGAGTTATCGCTTGTAGACGTTGTTAGATGCCTTCTGATTACAGCAGATGAGGATTGTGTCCTCTTACAACCCCCTTCTCCTCCCTCCAGCCTCCCAGTATAAATACATCACGGGTTTTGTTAACTCAATTAGCAAAGTTTAACCGTATGATTATGTAAATATTCCTTATTTCCAACACCACGTATTTTAACTATATTTGCGTTTCCTGCAGTCTTTATTTTTCCTGCAGTTAGAAATGTTCTCGTTTTCCCGCTTTAAAGAGGGTTCCTAAATTAGAAGTTAAACTTTTCTGTATGTTTTCCTCTGTTTCTGCCATGGCTTCCTGTTGGGAACGATTCTCCTGCACGCGATAAATATTTCCCGAGCATTTGCTTTTCTACCTTGGTCTGCTAGGTGTTAAGAGATACGGGAAGAAACATGGTCCTTGACCATTCTGCAGCCCAAAATTTAGTTGAGAGACAAGAGAGGTACACAGGGAAAAAAAAAAACAAAACAGTGCAAGCATGTTGCCCTGCATGCTGTGTGGTGGGTGAAATTAACGGTGCCCACAGGGAATGTTCTGGAGTCAGAGGCTAGAGTCCCAAGGAAAGTTTTCTTTCACAAGGAAGGCCCGAACCGGGCTTTGAAGTCAGGTTGTAAAGCAGAGTCGAGAAGTACCAAGTAAGGAAATCCATGAAGGGTTGGTCTGTGGACCCTAAACACAGGAAGCATCTTAACAGGGCCCGGTCTCCATTTCCTCATCACGAAGGGAGAGGAAGAAGTTCATTACTGGTACTCGGCTGTGGAAGAGAAAATCCCTATTCTTAGGAAATATACGCTGAAGTATTTAGGGGAAAAGGCTAAAATATATGCAACTTGCCCTCAAATGGTTCAGGAAGAAAAAAACACGTAGACGGTGTGTTGGTATTCCTTATGTTTTTGGGTTTTTTTTACTGTTTATTTATTTTTGAGAAAGAGAGACAGAGTGCGAGCAGGGGAAGGGCAGAGAGAGAGGGAGACACAGAATCTGAAGCAGGCTCCAGGCTCTGAGCCCATCATGGGGCTCAAACTCACGAACTATGAGACCATGACCTGAGCCAAAGTCGGACGGTTAACCCACCGAGCCACACAGGTGCCCCAGGTATTCCTTGTACTGTATCATTTCGGAGCTTTGCAACTTTGGACTTATTTAGAGTTATTTAAAGTTTTAAAAAATTTTAGAGAATTTTTTTTTTTTAATTTTTTTTTTCAACGTTTATTTATTTTTTTGGGGGGGGACAGAGAGAGACAGAGCATGAACGGGGGAGGGGCAGAGAGGGAGACACAGAATCGGAAACAGGCTCCAGGCTCCGAGCCATCAGCCCAGAGCCTGACGCGGGGCTCGAACTCACGGACCGTGAGATCGTGACCTGGCTGAAGTCGGACGCTTAACCGACTGCGCCACCCAGGCGCCCCAAGAGAATTTTTAAAGATTTAAGGCAAGCTATAAAGATACCCTCAAGAACTCTAACCTAAGGAAATTATCATATTTATGTAAGGTTAATGATGTAAGCAGAAAATTTTTCTTTGCTCCATTTGTAGTTGAAACAAAAGGAATTAACCGAAATATTTAATAAAGGGAAATTGGCCAAATTGTGTGGTGCATTATGCTTCTATTAAGATTAATTTTTCCAACAAATTGAGGTTAAATAAGATAATGATCCGGGTATGATGTCAATGGGGAGAAAAGCAGAATATAAAGCTATACATACTGTGTAAATCCAATTATGTATCTTTATAGACCCAAATTGAGGGAAATATACCAAAGTAATAACAGTAGTAGGATCAAGGGTAATTTCACCTTTAAATTTTTCTATATTTTGAAGTTTTCCAGAATAAGCATGTATTAATTTTCTAATTAAAACAAATGAACATAGGGGGGCCTGGGTGGCTCAGCTGGTTGAGCGTCCGACTCTTGATTTTGACTCGGGTCATGATCTCACAGGTGAGGCTGAGCCCCACGTGGGAGCCTGCTTGGGCTTCTCTGTCTCCTCTCTCTCTACCCCTCCTCCGCTGGCATGCATGTGCTCTCTCTCTCTCTCTAAATGAATAAAATAACTTTTTTTTTTTAATTTTTTTTTAACGTTTACTTATTTTTGAGACAGAGAGAAACAGAGCATGAATGGGGGAGGGGCAGAGAGAGAGGGAGACACAGAATGGGAAGCAGGCTCCAGGCTCTGAGCCATCAGCCCAGAGCCCAACGCGGGGCTCGAACTCACGGACCGTGAGATCGTGACCTGAGCTGAAGTCGGCCGCTTAACCGACTGAGCCACCCAGGCGCCCCTAAAAGAACTTTTAAAAAAAGAAAAATGAACACAATTTTCTAAAAAGCTACAGAAAAAAAAAAGAGATCGGGGATAAGCCCAGAGTTATTTTAACAATTTTTTAAGGCTTAAGATAAAATTATACGTGTGTGTTTATTCTTTGAAATGATATCATAACTAAAGACAGAGTGTTTTAATATTTTTTAAGCATGCAGAAGAATATCTACCTTATTGGGTGACTGGCCAGATTAACTGAAACAATCTTTGTAAACTACTTGGAACAGTGCCTGCCCGAGGTAGTATGTTATGCATGTATATAGAATATATGTATGTGGGTATATATGAGATATATATGTATCTATTTTTTATATATATAGTCTCAAACAGTCAGCTGTTTTAACAATCGTCACCTCCCTCCTCGCGTGCCAGCCTCTGGTTGAGAATGGGTTGCGATGGGTACGGCCCGGTCCTCTGGGCCCTGGCGGGGGAGGGGCTGACCTGTGCCGCCTTCCCGCAGGTGGCCGCCGAATACTTCAAGAACACCACGCTGCTGCTGGTGGGTGTCATCTGCGTGGCAGCTGCCGTGGAGAAGTGGAACCTGCACAAACGCATTGCTCTGCGCATGGTCATGATGGCTGGAGCCAAGCCGGGCATGTAAGCGGTCCTTGGGGTGCCGGGCCATAGCGCTTCCCCCAGCAGCCAGGGGCCACCTGGGCAGTGGTCCTGGGCCACAGGGGGACGTCCGGCTCGGGTTGGTTTTCTACTAATGGGGAGGGGATGATGTCAGGGCTGCTGGGCTCCTACCTCACTCTCCAGTGAGAGGGCCCTTGATCATAGACTAGAGATTTGAGTGTGTGACTTTGGTGTCATTTATTATCACAGTCTAAAGAATTTATCTGAGTAATCTAGACCGTAAGGGCAGCAGGTTACAAAACACAAGGGGCCCATTAGGTAAAACAAGATGGACCAACGTACATTGTTTCTCAACCTTTCTCTGGTATAACAAGGAACAGGCTGGACGACGAAATGGGTGTCTTCTCCTTTGTCATTGAAGGAGACACGGAGGTTTCCTCCCATCCCCCCTGAGGCTTTGTTATCACTGGTTCAGCCCACAGCTTAAATATGTTGCATCTGACCTGGCGTCTGTGATCACAACACGTGCCCTCGACTGTGCCCTCTTCTCTGTGGTCAGGAACACCCATAGAGAGATTCCCAACCTTGGGGGATATGTAAGAAAGTCAGGATTGACAGTTTTGTGTTAACCTCACCTCTGCTCCGTTGAAGAGCCTGGCCCTTCTCCCTTTGGAATGTGGGTCTCACCTCCTTCTATTTACAACTTTCTCATGACGTGTTTTTGTAAGCTGCCCTGACTCCTTTGGGAGTCCAATGGAGCATAAATAAATAACATGGTATCAGTTTTCAACATTGGTCATTTAGACGAATACAGGTTATGCCTAAAAGGATGTTCCTGTATCCCACTTAACTACAGCTTAATTTAAGTTAATTTGCCACTTGGCTCAGCGATAACCTTGTACCCCTAGGCACACAATGGCACCTACACGTCACGTGGGGACTCTGGAGCTCTTTAAAACCTCCGTGTACTCAAACTCAAGGTCAAACTCAAGAATGCCTATCCCATCGCATTTCCACTCTTCTTTATTTAACTCATCCCCCCACACGTTTCCACCCCCGGTAGTGCTCTTTGCTTGCTGGTGGGGGTCCCGGGCAGGCAAACTCACACCATCAGCCTAAACAAAAAAACACCACCAGGACTTTGGCCCACCTGACGTAATCCACTCGATAAATGTGCTGTCCCCAAATCGTGCAGAGTCAGTGATCCCACCTAAAGCAATAAACACGGATAGTCTTTGTGTTGCCTTGTCTTACGGAAGAGAGAACCCTGTCTGTTCCAACACACATTGTTAGGTTTTCAACGTCCAAGAGAAATCACTTGAGAGTTCTTTTTGTTAGTGTTTTCCTCCAAGGGTTGACTCTTCATGACACCAGCTGAAAAAGTGAACGCAGTGATACGGGACACTTGGGTGACCCGGGGGGCTGTGCTTTCAGCAGGTTGACAGTGGGGCAAGCGGTGAGCGGAACTGTGGGCTCCACACGTCAATCTCTACGTGGTCACTAATAAGTATGGTGACTTGGCTGCAGAGCATAGAATGTAATGGTACCCGTAGAAGTGCTGGCTGCAAGGGCAAAAAAAGAATTCCTTTAGGCACCAAAAAAGCCCATACGTCATCACCAAGCTAATGGCTGCAGAGTTGGCCAATCAGTAAGTCCATGCCCTGTGACCCTACTACCAAGGCTAGTCTCTGCTTACGGAGGGGCTTTTTCTAGCTCAGGCCATTGGCCCGTGGCGTGTGGTTTATTCCTTCAACAAATACTCATTTAATGCTTGCTCTGTGCCAAGCCCTGGGAGTACAGAGTTGAAGGCATGACATAAAAATCGGACCTTCTGGACACACGCTACCCCCACCCCGCCCCGTTCTCCAGCCAGCACCATCGGGTTCGTAGGAGGCCCCAAAGGAGCCCCGCGAGTGAGCGGGGGGGCCCCTGGGAGATGGCCGTGCTGTAGACGCTGTGCCCCGGCCGCCCTGCCTTCCAGGTTGCTGCTCTGCTTCATGTGCTGCACCACACTGCTCTCCATGTGGCTCTCCAACACGTCCACCACCGCCATGGTGATGCCCATCGTGGAGGCCGTGCTGCAGGAGCTGGTCAGTGCCGAGGAGGAGCAGCTCGTGGCGGGCAACTCCAGCGCCGAAGAGGCCGAGCCCATCAGTACAGTTTGCTGGAGTTCACCTCCCCTTCGCCCTCGTACCCTCCTCTTGTGACACGGCCCGGCTCAGCGCGGCTCCCCAGGCTCCCTCATCTGTGCTCCTCCCCTGCCCTCTATCCCAGACCAGCCCTTGTAACCCGTGACCCTGCTTCCCTGGCTCTTCCTCCCCCTCCTACATCAGCCACCACCTGCCCCTTTCCCCCGAACACTCCACGGTTATGACCACCCCTCTCCCCCCACCCCCCGGGCCTGTGTGTCTCCACAGCCCACCATGCTTTCAGGCGGAGGGAAGGCAGTCCTCATGCAGGATATGCCCTGGTTTCCCCATTCAGCCCCAGTCCGGAAGCCCTGCCCTACACGCTCAGCTCTAGCGTCCACATCTCACGTCTGCTTTCCTTTGATACCATAGGTCTCGATGTAAACAACAGTCAACCCTCCCTGGAACTCATCTTTGTCAATGAAGAGTGAGTATGGCTGCCCTCCTCCCAGACAGAGCCTTGCTGGGTCTATTCCGGGGGTCGGGAAAGCTGGGCCCTGAGCCCATGAACAGCTCTTTTAGATGCCAGGCTCACATCTCGACACTTCCCTCTGTCCTGATTTCCTCTCCATCCTCGGAACCACTTGCCAAGATCCTGAGGGCAACTCCCTCAACCACAAGGAGTTGCAGTGATGAGGGATGAGACAGAAAGACTGACTAGTCTGAATGTCCACACAGCTACCAAGTAGAACTTCTTTTTTTTTCTTTTAATGTTTATTTTTGAGAGAGAGAGACAGAGCACAAATGGGGGAGGGGGAGAGGGAGAGGGAGACCTAGAAGCCGAAGCAGGCTTCAGGCTCCGAGCTGTCAGCACAGAGCCCGACGTGGGGCTCGAACCCATGAACCGCGAGATCGTGACCTGAGCCGAAGTCGGACGCTTAACCAACGGAGCCACCCAGGCGCGCCTACCAGGTAGAATTTCATCTGAATTGGTGTCCTTCGGAGAGTAATACATTTCATTAATGGGAAACATCCGCATGATGAATGTCACTGAAGATTCTCAGAGGATCACCAAGTATCTTATAGATACTAGAGGTGGTCTTACTAGACTTGGCCTTGTCAGGTGTGACACGGAAAGATGAGGTGACAGGTAGTGGGCTTGACAGTGGGGAGAGAGCCATGTGAGGATGGAGAGAAGCTAAAAAAGGAGAACTACACCCCCCAAACATTCACGTGAGGCAGATCCATCAACGGCTCATTTCATTTGGAGATTTTATATCAGACCGTTGTCCTCGAGGGTCGCTGAGGAGTATCGCCTCTAAAAGTTGGACGTGTAGCAAAACTGAGTTTTGTAGTTTGGTGACTTCATGGGCCGTGAGAACTGGCACTGACTGAAACCAGCACATGTGAGGGGAGGGCGCAGAAGGGTGGGGACTAGCTCTGCTCCCACCCCCCACCAGGCCTGCAGGGTCAGAGGTCAGAGTGCGTGGGGAGAGACTCCTCTTTGGCCCTTCCTCCTCCCACCGTCTGGGCCCCCGCCCCCCCCTCTGCTGCTTCCGACTTCTCCAGGGGTCCATACCATCTCTGAGACTTGGGCCCTGGCTCCCTCACTTGGCCTGGCCGGGCGCCCACCTTCAGCATCCCTACAGTGTCCCCTTGAGGTGACCTCTGCCGAGCCCCAGGCCTGATGGCGGTGGTGAGGTGCTCCCGGATGACCCCCCACCCCCCACCCCCTGGTTCTGTGCTCTGCCGCTTTACTCCCCCCCAGAGCCCCTTTGTTCCGGGGTTGCCTCTGCCTCTTGGGTGGGGCCTCTTCAAGAAGGCTCCCGCCCTGCCACCTTCCGAGTGCGTGACCCATGACAAGAGAGACTCGGCATCATGCCCTGCCTTTGTTCTTCTCCAGACCTGAATACATGTCCCCAGACTCTGAAGCAAAGAGCTCAAGTTGTCCCTAGAACTCCCTCAGCAGACTGCTGGTGGGGGCCAGGCCATTTGTGGGGTGAGGATGGCCATCTTCCACGGTGGCCGGCACCTTCCAGGCTGTCTGAGGGGCTCCAGGCCTGCCCTCCTCACCCGATTTGAGAAGTTGGGAGGGGAAACATCATAACACGCTACTCCTCCCAGGCCAACAACCCTCTCCAAAGAATGCTTCCCTCCAAACCCTGCTCAACTCCTCACCCTCCCTTGAGGTAGCCTGGTCAGGGGTGATGGCCACAGGGCTCCAGTCCTGCACTCGTGTCCAACACCTGTCTTCACAGAGCGCTCACGGCACCCGTTGCCTTCAGAACTAAAACAAACCCGGGTGCCTGGCCGGCTCAGTTGGTTCAGCGTCCAACTTCGGCTCAGGTCGCGATATCTTGGCCCGCGAGTTCGAGCCCCGCATCGGGCTCTGTGCTGACAGCGCGGCGCCCGGAGCCTGCTTCGGATTCTGTGACTCCCTCTCTCTCTGCTCCTCCCCCACTCATGCTCTATCTCTCTCTGTCTCTCAAAAATAAATAAATGTTTAAAAAAAAAATTAAAAAAAAAAAAAAAAAAAAAAAAAAAAAAAAAAAAAAAAAAAAAAAAAAAAAGAACTAAAACCGAAGCATGCATTTAGCGCTGAGCGTAAGCCAGGAGTGCTGTTGTTAAGTTCCCACCTCCCTCTGTACTCAAGGCCAAGGCTGGGTGGGGGATCCCCGGGCATGGAAGAGGCTCAGCACACACAGGAGCAGCTGTGTCAGAAATTCCCCGCACCCCCCACACCCAACCTCTTGCTCACCTCAGCTTCTCACCGCGTGCAGGCCCTCCCTGCTCCTGCAGCCTCAGGGAAGCACGTGGCAAATGTCTCCTTCTAGCCGGTGACCTTCACGAGTCAGCCAGTGAGAATGTGGTTGGGGGGCGGGGGGCCCAGGCGCTCCAGGCAGACAGAGACCGGCCCACCTGTCTGCTCTATAAATGCAGGGACCAGCGGTCCGTGGCGACAACGTCAGGAGGACTGACGTCCGTATTTAAGGGCCAGCCCCCCAAATGCACCACGCGCTAGTGAGTAGTGTTAGTACTGCTGTGTCCCCATGAATCCCGGCAGCGTCTCCGGGAGGCTAGGAAGACCCGCGTGAGGTTAGTCTCTCTGCAGCCTAGGAAACCGGACCCCAGAGCAGTCACGACGCGGAACACCAAGGTGGGGCGGGGAAGGGCATGAGGTCTGGTCCACTGTTGTGTTCCCGTTTCCTTTGCTTTGTTCCAGCACGTCGACTGCAGACTTCACTTCTCTGATGCAGGACAAGGTAAGGCTTTGGGTGTTTTCCGTGCTCCAAGATCACTTGGAGGTCCCTCGAGCGGACTCAGGGACAGAGACGGCCTGGAACCCAGCAGCACCGCTGGTGTGAGAACAGAGAGGTGCTCGCGCCAGCCCAGACGTGAGAGGGGCCGGACGGGCTCCTGGCAAGGGCCTGAGTACCTCTGAACCCCGGTCGCGAGAGGGCTTAGCCTTTCATCAAGTGCACGGTGGCCTTTTTCGCGGGAACCCGACCCTCGGCCCTCCAGGAACCACAGATTCACCCTCGGGATTCCTTGCACTGGGGAGTCCGCGCAAAAACTATCAAAAGGGTCACATTCACGGAGGAGAGCCGCGTTTACGGCCTCGCTCCTCCCCCGGAGCTGGTTGTATGTCTTCGTACGGCAGCCCAAATTTTGATGCCCACACTGTGGACTTTGTTGTGGTGGGATTTTTGTTTTTCATCTCCTTCGCGTTAAAGAAAAATGAAGGATTCATCGTTAGCTAATGAAGTTCCAGAAAGCCGGGCTCTCCTGCAAGGACGCAGCCGTGCTCTGCCCAGTTTCAAAAGCCTGTGCAAATGGGCGGCTCGATACCGGGCTGGATGGGGAGGTGCGGGCTGGAGGCACAGTGGGGCGGCCCCCTGCTGCGCATTCTCCCCCGGTTTCCGGTTTCCCATTTCCACTTGGCGCAGGCGTGGGGTGCCCATGGGGGCGACTACGTGGTCCCTCTGAGGGCCACCACGTCGTCTTCCTGACAGTGTGATGGTCTTTGTCGCTGCAGAACCTGAATGGGATGCCCCCAATCACCAACCCTGTCAAAATGGCAAGCCCCCAGGGCAAGAAGCAGCACCGATCCCAGGTAATAGAACTCACCGCCCCCCCCCCCCCCGCCGCACCAATCGTCTGTCTTCCTCAGGAAAGGCCTGAGCTCTGAAGGCTTGGGCTGGCCTTCAAGGTATGGAGGGCCAGGGCCTACGAGGCTGCCACTGCCTCCAGCCACATGCATGTCTGGCCTGCACGTGCCACGGGGATAAAACATCTAACTCACTGTTGATTTCGGCAAGCCATTCTACCATCTGAGCCCCTGTTTTTTCTTCAACCATAATATCTGGAAGTTGGGGCGCCTGGGTGGTTCAGTTGGTCTGACTTTGGTTCAGGTCATGATCTCACGGTCCGTGAGTTCAAGCCCCGCGTTGGGCTCGGGCGCTAACAGCTCAGAGCCCGGAGCCTGCTTGGGATTCTGTGTCTCCCTCTCTCTCTGCCCCTCCCCCGCTTGTGCTCACACACTCTCTCTCGCTCTCTCTCGCTTTCAAAAACTAAACATTAAAAAAAATTTTTTTAACTGGGGGTTTGACCAGATCAGAGGTGTTCAAGCTGTTTCTCATAAGTGCTTCAGGAAAAACGCAAATATTTTACTGATTCTGAGATTGTAAGAAAACTTTCTGTGCAAATGAGGATCCTCCTGCTACTTACTATTCCACTGAAAGAAAAGGCAGAAACAAGATAGATACTGAAGCTGGTATAAAATTGCAGCTACCACTTAAAACCCTTGGTTTCAAATCTTTGTGTCCATCCAGATCATCTCAATTCCTTAACGTCCATCATGGTCATAAATAACCATCACCATTTATGAAACGCTTTTTATGTACCAAGCACGTGCGAAGCATTCTCTCCCCAGTCTTGGCTCGGTGAGGTACCAGTCTGGAACTCCATTTCTGCAGATGACGCAAGGACATCACATCATGTGCCCCAGGCCTTAGAACTAGTAGGGAGAGGAGCATCTCAATTCAAATCCAAGCCCCACCCCCACCCCGCCCCGACCACACGTGTGTACTTTTAGTTACAAAATAGATGTACGCTGATGAAATGCTACATCATATTTTATGTATTGGAGGTCCGTGAAAATGTTCATTAGTAGGAAGGATCATGGAAAACCACTGGACCAGAGAATCTATGAGGTCTCTTCCAGCTTTGATAATGAATCTTTCAGGAAGGTTAGGGAGGGTCCAGACTGGCCTGGGCTCTCCTACGAGGTAGGGCTTTGAGAAAGATGGCCTCTTCACCATGGTTTTCCCAAGATCTGGCCTGCTGGCCTTGGTCTCATGAATACTCAGTGAGGGGAGACCAGGCCTGGGGGAGCAGAGGGCACTTGCTTCTTTATCTACACTTGAGACCAGAGGTCAGCAACCTCTGACCCTGAAAGGCCACCATCTGGGCCAAACAGGACCTGAGAGAAGACAGAAGGCCGGCCTTATACGCAAGCAGAGGAGGGGCGTGGGGAGGCAAAACCAAGAGGCGAAAAGGAGAAAAGCATGAGGAAGGGAGGAGAGAATCATACACTGGATTCCCCCTGCAACCTAAGCGTTACTTCTCAGTCCTCTCGGGGTCAGGACTGTCACTCCAGCTCTGGATAGAACAACCACCTTCCATGTGTTATTCACACAGAGAGCGGAGAGCAACCAGTTTTGCTGGAGTTCAAGTGAGAAACAGAACACGCTGTTACTAACAACAAAAGTAATAATAGCTTAGCATTCGTTAAATGCCAGGAAATGTTCTAAGTGCTTTACGTACGTTACTTCACTTACTCTTTATAACAATCTTGTGGAGAAAATAAGATCTTCATTCTACAGAAGAATATGCAGCCCAGCGGGGCTGCCCCAGTTGGTAAACGGTAGAACTAGGATTGGGATTTGTCTTTCCACTGCGCCATGATGCCCCTATTTTCATGACTTGTGTGGGGGACAGCCCGCGCTGGGTTGGAGGCACTGACTAATTTTCCTCCGATAGGAAAAGCCACTAGTCCTGATTCCTGGGCCCAGGAACCAGGAGCTCAACAGAAAGTATAAGTCCCAGCGTGACCAGATGATCTGCAAGTGCCTGTCTCTGAGCATATCTTACGCTGCTACCATTGGGGGCCTGACCACCATTATTGGTACCTCCACCAGCCTCATTTTCTTGGAACACTTCAACAAGTAAGTAACTCACCTGGTCAACAAATATCTACTCGACACCCACTACGTGTCAGGAATGGAACTGGGTGCTAAGGATAGGGCAGAAAATGGACCTAGAGTAGCTTCCATACCAAGAGGGAAAAGAGACATCGAGCATGACAGTTCAGTGGGACTGGAGAGGGGCAGGGTTCTGCTGGGAGAGCCCACGGGGGCCACCCAGTCTACAGGGAGAGCAGGCCTCCCCAAAGACACAGCCTTGGAAGCGAGACCCGAGGCTCAGTGGGAGTACAATGGATGAAGAGAGGTTTTCCAAAGAAAGCGCTGAGTGGCAGGACTGAGGCGAGAGAAAAGAGCCCATAAAAGAAAATGGCAGAGGGCAAAAGGTGGAAATGCAGATTGCAAAGGGCCTCTTGAGGCCCACGAAGGAGTTTGGACTTCATCTGAAAGGCCATGAGACGTCTTTGAAGCATTTTAGGCAGGGAGTGAGGTGATCGGATTTACAGTTTGGGAAACTGATGGTGGGCTGAAAAAGTGGAAAAAGTAGGAAGGAAGCAGGAAGGAAGTAGGAAGGAAAAGTAGGCGGCAGGAAGATAATTTTGGACAGCACTGCAGATGCCCAGGAGAGAGCTGGTGATGGCCTGCAAACACAGACAGCAGTGGAGAAATGGTCAGATTTGAGAGATGGGCCCGGGAGAGGGAAAGGCCAAGTCTGATTGTCAGACTCATGGCTTCCGCAGCTGGGGGAAGAGAGTCGCCCTTTACCTAAATGAGCAGAAAAATGAGGAAATGTTGACGTGGAGGCTGAGACGTCCAGATGGATACACAGCTCTGAATCTTATTTTTAGGCTAAAGGCACAGATTTAGTGGCCTGAAGAGCTGTCTTCATGAACATGTAACCCATGTTGTCACATCAACTACCATGCTCAGAAGGGCCCCATACTTAGCTCAATGCTCTGCTGTCACCATCTGAAAATTCTTAATAATTTTTGAACGAGTGGCCCCACATTTGCATGTTGTTCTGGGCCCACAGATTAGATGGCATTGGGTCCTGGTGGGATGCGTGTGGAAAGTGAAGTCAGGAGAGTGAAGGAGATCAATCACTCAGGGAAAACAGAGAGAGTTAAGTAGAGCAGGGACCGTAAATATTAAGCTTGGATATTTTAAAGTAGACTATAAATGAGACAACAAAAGGGATCACCCAGGGAAGAGGAAAATCTGGTGTCATTCCATCAAAGGGAAGAAAGTGTTCAAGGAGGAAGGGGTGGGCTATACTGTTTAAAGTGGCTGAAGGGATAAGGAAAAGGACAAAAATGTGTCCGTCTGATTTGGTGACACAGAGGTAACCTAGGCAAGAGCAATTTGGTCAAGAGATTGAAAAGTGAAGCCAAGTGTCAGTGAGGTGAGGAGTATGCTGGAGTTGAGTAGACAGAGAGTTGTCTGTGATGGGAAGGAGAGGTATGGGATGATGACAAAGGAAGAGTCCAGTGGGGTCAAGAGGGGGTTTTAAGACGGAAGATGTTTAAATGCTGATAGGCATGTCCAGGTGAGAGGAAAATTAAAGTTTTGGGAAAGAGGTGATGATTGATAGAGTGATATCACTGAGAAAACAAGAAAGGAAGGGCTCCAGAGCAGAGGGCAGAGAAATTGATCATAGCCAAGAGGATAAACACACCCTTCCATTTAGCAGGAAAGGGAAGGAAGGAAGGAAGGAAGGAAGGAAGGAAGGAAGGAAGGAAGGATGGAAGGGGGGGGGGATGGACCAATGAAAGTTAAGACCGAAGTCTCTGGGACGTGAACTTCATGGAGTTGTCACACCATATTATTCTGTCCAAGCTCTTCAATTTCTGGTTCACTCTGTGGTTGGGCCAATTCATATTCCCTCAGTCTACTTCCTGGCTTGTGTCATGGTACATTTAGTCATCACATTGGCTTACTTGGACAACAGGAATTCTGTGAAAGGAAGGTGGACTCCCTGGATCCCCGCTGGTCTGAAAATGCCACTGTGCTATTTTTCTTGGCACTGATGAACAGACCACCCCCAGAGTGCATCCTGGCTGTGTTTAAAAAAATCTACAAATTGGTTGTTACATTCAGTACATACAGTCACACTTTCTAAAGTGCTATAGATGATATTAGACCCTAACATTTATCCACAAAAGTCTATTTAATCTATCCGAAAAATCCATTCCTTTTCCCGGGTCCAGGAGCAGGGCCTAGGCTTCTATGTACAGAGAACAGATGATGCAAGACTTCATGCCCGTTGGCCCAGCACAGCCCAGAGTGATCACTCAGTGATTTACATGCCCTCTGGTGTCCTTCTAGCTCCCAAAGCCCTTCTCTCCACTGACAGTGACTGACAGTGACTCTGGCCCTTAGGGAGGGCACAAGCTGTCACAACTTCCCAAGAGGCACACCGATGGTAAAGGTAAGTCCACGACCAGGCCACAGTGCAAAACAACAGTGTTGTTTCTCTGTGATGGAAGAGAAGATTAAACACTCTTGCACCCTGTGCTTCCATTGTATTTTCTCTCTGGGGGATTCTTCTCTCGGTCGTTCTCTTTTCCCATGCAGTGTCTAGTGTGAAGAGAGGGGCACAGTCTCCTCCCACCTTAGAGGAGTTCTGTGCCCAGTCCCAACTAGAAGAGCCCAAGGGGAAAGGAATGCAGGTGTTGTCTAGGCTATAGTCGTGGCTCACATGTGGCTCCCCAGGAAACGACACCTGGGCTGGGGCCACCGCCCTGCCTGGTGATGAATGGAGAGTCCTCTGGGTAACCTCCCTGAGACGCTAAGACACCAGTGCATGTTGATCAAAGATTTAGAGATTCTAAGTCATGGTTCTCCTATGGGCACAGTCAACACCGGGAACCCTCCTGATGCTCTAGAGTCCAAACTTCTCCAGAATTGCATCCCCCAGTCAAAGCTCATATTCCTTCAGTGACTTTATCACACAAAGTATACCAGACTGTCCTTTCCATTCTCTGTTGTCCTGAAAAACAGATGAGTAAACATATAAGAAGAATCTTTATATAAATTAAGAGCAAAGAGCTCCGGAGTGGTTCTCCTGAGCGCAAAGTATATACGCTTCAGTGAAATCAATTTTGGGTGTTTAGGTGCCTTTTTTAAGTTTCCTTCATAATTCTTGGGACCAGTAGAGTTGCGACTGTCAAAGACGTGAGTTCTAGGTAACGTTTTACCTTATTGTTACCATCATCTCTCTGCCGTTAGCTCTGATGTATGTCTTCTTAAGGAGCATTTAGCTTATTACCCCCAGACACCACATGGGAACCCACCCTTTTCTAGTCACTGACCTGGTTTCTTCCCCTCCAGCCAGTACCCAGCTGCAGAGGTGGTCAACTTCGGCACCTGGTTCCTCTTCAGCTTCCCCATCTCCCTCATCATGCTGGTGGTCAGCTGGTTCTGGATGCACTGGCTGTTCCTGGGCTGCAAGTGAGTCCCAGGGTCCTGCCAGCAAGGCACCGAGGCTCTCCCGTCCATCCAAAGTCATGGTGCGCGCCGTGGAGAGCACTCCTCGGGGAGCCACCAATAACCATGGAGGACGCATGAGGAGAACGCACTGTACTAGATGGGGAGTCAGGCGTCACCTGTTCTAGACCCTCTAAACATACATGGACTCTGCACTTCACTATGAGCTCCACAGTGGAATGTTAATTCCAACTAGCTGGTTAAAGGAACTGCCTGATTTAGAACAAGTGTGAATGGTGGGTGGTTAATGTAGTTTCGTTTCCTTCAAAGCATACGGAGTAATTTGAACTAATTTCTAAAGAAACGTGACTCCAAGTAGAAGTTTCTTTAGGCTTTGTTTTATACACGTGACTGATTTATACTTAGTAGTTGCGTGAAAGATGCTCATATTTCTCAGAATCAAAAGTTAGCTATTCCTCCTGCAATATAATTTCTAACATTAATCTGCTTAGGAAGTCTTTTCTTCATAACCATAAGTTGACCAGCCTCGAACACATAAAGGGAAGATGCACATGATGTTTTGATATTGGTCCACGGGACCCAAGACTCCCATTGCTCAGGGAATGTTCTCTGAGCAGACTTTAAAAAAAATTTTTTTTAATGTTTATTTTTGAGAGAGAGAGAGAGCGCGCAAGCAGGGGAGGGGCTGAGGGAGACACAGAATCTGAAGCAGGCTCCAGGCTCTGAGCTGTCAGCACAGAACCCTACGTGGGGCTTGAACTCACAAACTGCGAGATCATGACCTGAGCTGAAGTCGGATGCTCAACAAACTGAGCCGCCCAGCCACCCCCAGACTTTTTTTTTTTTTTAATAACACAGAGGCTACTATGACATCAATGACAGCCGCATACTTCTATACCTCCAGCGCGTAGAAAACAACGCCATGTAAATACACTTGCCCAAGTCTGTAAGACATGACTTCACACCGATACACCAGATATATACCCAGATAAATATGCCCAAAAGCCTATGGGAGAGGCGATGAGAGGCTGTGAAACCTGGCACAAAAAAAGTTGTAGGGTATCGGGTGCCTGGCTCAATCGGTTAAGCATCTGACTTGGCACAGGTCACGATCTCATGGTTCATGAGTTTGAGCCCCACATCGGGCTCTGCACTGACAGCGCTGAGCCTGCTTTGGATTCTCTGTCTCGTTCTTTCGCTCATTCTTCCTCCTCAGTTTTAGAGAGACCTGCTCTCTGAGCAAGAAGAAGAAGACCAAAAGGGAAGCGTTGTCAGAGAAGAGGATCCAAGAGGAATATGAAAAGCTGGGAGCCATTAGGTAAAAATCAGCTATTCACCTTCTCTTCCCCAGGAAAGCATGGCAGGTAAAGTGAGCACATAAGCAGCCTTGTTCTCGACAGTCCCTTGAGCTGGGGGAGTTTTCCGCAACTATGAATCCAGGCATTTAGAACTGCTACTTAATGCCCAAGTCCGGCTGGCCCAGACTCCAGATGGCCACCCTTCCCATTTACCATATTCGAAGTCCAAGGTATAGCCGTGGTGTGGGTGTGGCTGTCATACGTGGGGTGGCCGGGGAAAGATGTGCGAGTCAGTACAGCCACACTCTTGGGGACAGGCCCAATTCCCCGTAAAGTCAGCCCCCTCACACTGCTCTGAATGGGCCACCGCTGGTCCACGGACACTCCTAGGGAGCTGGGGCGGGGGGTGGGGGGGTGGGGGGGGAATCGGGCATCATCAGATACAGACTTGAAGACACCCCCATCCTCAGCAATTTCCATCGGCTTTCCCCAGTGACCTTGTGTCCCATCTGGGGCCGTTTCTCCGTTGATGGCAATTGGCACGTACAGTTTGGGCAAAAGGATCCCGGTATAAGCAGTATTTTTAAATGTTTTAATTTATAAAAGGAATACATGTTCATTGTAGAACATTTAGGACATAAGGAAAATATAAAGAAAAAACTAAAGTCGACTTTTATTTATTCAGTGTTAACTGTCAACAACTCTTAACATAATGCACTCTTCCTTATATGCTTGTTTTGTGCAAAATTATATCTATTTTTGCTAAAATTCAATCCAAACTAAACACAGTATTATATCTTGCCTCCCGCCCCCCCACTTAGGATTAGGCTGTCGTTATATTCCCAGGCCATTAACTCTGCTATGCAAACACGATCATTAAATGTATCTCATTTGAGCCTACAGTTATACCAAAATGTACCTGATGTCATGGAATATCGCTGAATATGTAGGTTGTTTCCATTTTCAATGTTGAATTCTTAAATAGGTAACATAGCACTGGCATTTCTGGTTATTTCCTTGCATGAAAGCAAGGACCGAGTTGAAGGCTCCAGATATACATCAGCACATTCCCTCAAAAAGGTTGTTGCAGCTCTTGCCCTCACCAGCAGCGTTCGGGGGCCTCTTCCACCGCATTCTCCTCGGAGGCCGTACTGTGTTTTGTCTTATTTTCTTTTTAATGTGTGTTTATTTATTTTGAGAGAGAGGAAGAGCGAGAGCAGGGTTGGGGCAGAGAGAGAGAGGAAGAGAGAGAATCCCAAGCAGGCTC